GAGGCCAACACGGCCCCCCCCCCCCCCAGAGCAGAAAATACCAGTTGCACCCATCGCTCGCACCCTGAAAGCACCCACAATCGGGGCGCGGCCGGGCTGAGCTCTGGGGTTTTTTTCCCAAATCCCCCCGCCCCGACCTCAAGGGTAGACCCACCTTGTCCTGCTCCGCGACGGAGAGGGTGCTGTGCAGGGGGAGCACGATCCAGCGTTGGGTCTGCGCGGCGTAAGCCTGCGCCGCCTCCAGCACGGCGCCGATCTCGGGCACCCCGCTGAGGAAGACCAGCAGGTACCCGCGTTCCTCCGGTGGGTACTTGTGGTCGATGGCTTGCAGCACCCGCAGGTAGGGGAGGGGATCCAGGCGCTCCGATTTCCCTGATTTTCCGACTGCCGGCGCTTCTTCCTTAGGGATGGGTTGGTAGATGACCTGCAGGAGTAGAGATGAGGAGGACAGGAGAGATTCGCGCCCGCCCCACGCCGGGATTCATCCCCAAACCTCACCCTCCATCCTCACCGAGATGGGGAAGATTCTTCCCGGCACCTGCAGCACGGGGGCACCCCCAAAATACCCCGAAAAAAGGCGGATATTGATGGTCGCCGACATCAGCACCAACTTAAGGTCCGGCCGGGAGGGCAGGAGGCGCCGCAGGACCCCCAGGAGGAAATCGCTGTGGAGGTGCCGCTCGTGAACCTCGTCGGCGATCAGGACGTGGTACCCGGGCAGCGTCGGCTCCCCCTGCACTTGGGGCCGCCGCAGCCCCCCCCCACGGGAGGAGAAGGAGAAGGAGAAGGAGAAGGAGAAGGAGAAGGAGAAGGAGAAGGAGAAGGAGAAGGAGAAGGAGAAGGAGAAGGAGAAGGAGAAGGAGAAGGAGAAGGAGAAGGAGAAGGAGAAGGAGAAGGAGAAGGAGAAGGAGAAGGAGAAGGAGAAGGAGAAGGAGAAGGAGAAGGAGAAGGAGAAGGAGAAGGAGAAGGAGAAGGAGAAGGAGAAGGAGAAGGAGAAGGAGAAGGAGAAGGAGAAGGAGAAGGAGAAGGAGAAGGAGAAGGAGAAGGAGAAGGAGAAGGAGAAGGAGAAGGAGAAGGAGAAGGAGAAGGAGAAGGAGAAGGAGAAGGAGAAGGAGAAGGAGAAGGAGAAGGAGAAGGAGAAGGAGAAGGAGAAGGAGAAGGAGAAGGAGAAGGAGAAGGAGAAGGAGAAGGAGAAGGAGAAGGAGAAGGAGAAGGAGAAGGAGAAGGAGAAGGAGAAGGAGAAGGAGAAGGAGAAGGAGAAGGAGAAGGAGAAGGAGAAGGAGAAGGAGAAGGAGAAGGAGAAGGAGAAGGAGAAGGAGAAGGAGAAGGAGAAGGAGAAGGAGAAGGAGAAGGAGAAGGAGAAGGAGAAGGAGAAGGAGAAGGAGAAGGAGAAGGAGAAGGAGAAGGAGAAGGAGAAGGAGAAGGAGAAGGAGAAGGAGAAGGAGAAGGAGAAGGAGAAGGAGAAGGAGAAGGAGAAGGAGAAGGAGAAGGAGAAGGAGAAGGAGAAGGAGAAGGAGAAGGAGAAGGAGAAGGAGAAGGAGAAGGAGAAGGAGAAGGAGAAGGAGAAGGAGAAGGAGAAGGAGAAGGAGAAGGAGAAGGAGAAGGAGAAGGAGAAGGAGAAGGAGAAGGAGAAGGAGAAGGAGAAGGAGAAGGAGAAGGAGAAGGAGAAGGAGAAGGAGAAGGAGAAGGAGAAGGAGAAGGAGAAGGAGAAGGAGAAGGAGAAGGAGAAGGAGAAGGAGAAGGAGAAGGAGAAGGAGAAGGAGAAGGAGAAGGAGAAGGAGAAGGAGAAGGAGAAGGAGAAGGAGAAGGAGAAGGAGAAGGAGAAGGAGAAGGAGAAGGAGAAGGAGAAGGAGAAGGAGAAGAAGGAGGAGAAATTTACGGTGGAAGGGACCACGACGATCACCGACTCCGACTGCCTGAGCGCTTGGGGGGCTGACCAAAAACTTAAAATATGTCACTCCGGTCTTCAAAAAGGGCAAGAAGAAGGACCCAGGGTCCTACAGGCAGGTTGGTCTCTCACCTCCAGCCGGTAAGGTGATGGAACAACTCATTCTGGGTGTCCTCACCAAGCAAGTGGAGGAAAAGGAGGTGATGAGGAGGAGCCAGCATGGATTCACCAAGGGGAACTCATGCCTGAGCAATCTGATGGGCTTCTACAATGGCGTGACCAGCTGAGTGGATGAGGGGAGAGCAGTGGGTGGCGTCTAACCTTGACTTCAGCAAGGCTTTGGACACTGTCTCCCATAACATCCTCATAGGGAAGCTCGGGAATTATGGGCTGGATGAGTGGACAGTAAGCTGGGTCGGGATCTGGCTGCAGGGCACAGCTCAGAGGGTTCTGATCGGCAGGGCAGGGTCTGGTTGGAGGCCGGGAGCTTGTGGGGTTGCCCAGGGCTCAGTGCTCGGCCCGGTCTTGTTCAACTCATTCATCAATGACCTGGACGAGGGGACAGAGTGTACCATCAGCAAGTTCGCTGATGACACAAAACTGGGAGGAGTGGCTGATACACTGGAAGGC